ATCATCAAACACACACACACACACACACACACACACATACTGTACACGATATATGTCCCTCTGCAGACACAACAACATCATCAAACACACACACACACACACACACACACACACTCACACTCACACACACACACACACACACACACACACACACATACTGTACACGATATACGTCCCTCTACAGACACAACAACATCATCAAACACACACACACACACACACACACACACACATACTGTACACGATATATGTCCCTCTGCAGACACAACAACATCATCAAACACACACACACACACACACACACACTCACACACACACACACACACACACACACACATACTGTACACGATATACGTCCCTCTGCAGACACAACAACATCATCAACCACACACAAACACACACACACATGCATACATACATAAACACAGAGCCACACATAAAAGCAAACACACACACAATCACACACGCACCAGTGAAAGCACACACAAACACACACACAGATACACAAACACACACATACACACATACACAAACAGAGAGCCACACACAAATGCAAGCACAAACACAAACACACACACACAATCATACACGCACCAATGCAAACACACGCGCACACACACACACACACACACATACAGATAAACAAACACACACATGCACACAAACACTGAGCCACACACAAATGCAAGCACACACACAAACACACACAATCACACACGCACCAATGCAAGCACACACAATCACGCAAGCACCAATGCAAACACACGCGCACACACACACACAAAGATGCAAGCACATGCACAAACCCACACACACTCGCGCACACATACACACACTCACTTGCAATCCTCCGGCGTTGACTTTGCTTCATCACTGCAGCGGTAAAACTTCCCCTGAGGAAACACACACACACACATACACACACACACACACACACACACACGCGTCCCGTCAGAGAAACTGCAGGATGATGTGGCTGTAAATCTGAAATCTGGCCTCCAGGTGAACGTCTCTGCACCTTGAAGAGCTGCACGCCGATGCAGGCGAACATGAACTGCAGGAGTGTGGTGACGATCATGATGTTCCCGATCGTCCGGATGGCCACAAACACACACTGAACCACATGCTGAGACACGCCACAAAACAACACAACAGCGGCGTTATTGTCAGTTCTACAATTAAAGCAGATTATGAGGAATTATCCTGTTTTAAAGCAGTCATGTTACACCACGACCTAACTACAAGATTCCAGCGACTTCTCCATGATGACAGCGCATAATATTAGACTAGATACACTAGTGTTCAGCTTAAAGTGACATGTCAAGGCTTCACTAGGGTAATTAGGGTAAAGTTAGGGTAATTAGGCAAGTCATTGTATAACAGTGGTTTGTTCTGGAGACAATCCAACACTAATATTGCTGAAGGGGTGAATAATATTAACCCTAAAATGGCTTTAAAACAATTAAGAACTGCTTTCATTCTAGCCGAAATAAAACAAACAAGACTTTCTCCAGAAGAAGACATATTATAGGAAATACTGTGAAGAATTCCTGGATCTGTTCAACATCATTTCGGAAATATAAAAAAAAAAGTATAACAATTGACAGGAGGGCGAGTCAGTTTGACTTCAACTGTACATATTAAACTGTCGCTCTGAATGTCTCCAGGCCTGAACTCAAGCCTATGGTCAAGGAGTCTGAAGTCGCCTTACGGTCAGTTTCTCTCCATTCTCTGTGTCTGTGGTTCAGATTCCTGCCTGTCAGACTCATGTTTGTTTCTTTTGCTTTTCCGCCAGTTTTCCGGATAACTTTGAGAAGTTGTCTCCGCCAATCCTGCAGCTGGATGAGGTGGAGTTCGGATATTCGCCTGAGCAACGGCTCTTCAGCGGACTCTGCATCTCCGCTGATCTGGAGTCACGCATTTGCATTGTGAGTGTTTGCTGTAGATGATCTGAATACACTGAGGAATCTGCTGCTTAAAATCTGAACTAGATGTTTTTCAAGACACTTCTAAACAGCTTAAAGTGACATGTAAAGGCTTCACTAGGGTAATTAGGGTAAAGTTAGGGTAATTAGGCAAGTCATTGTATAACAGTGGTTTGTTCTGGAGACAATCCAACACTAATATTGCTGAAGGGGGCGAATAATATTGAGCTTAAAATGACTTTAAAACAATTAAAAACTGCTTTCATTCTAGCTGAAATAAAACTTTCTACAAGAGAAAGAATATTAGAGGAAATACTGTGAACAACTCCTGAATCTGTTCACCATTATAATTAAAATAATAAACAAGCAAAGGCAGAGTCTGAAAGTGTCTGACCTTCAGTCCTTTAGCTCTGTTGATGGCTCTCAGCGGACGAAGAACCCGCAGAATCCTCAAGATCTTCACCACTGAAATAGCAGACGACCTGCAGAAAAACAAGCGTGCATCAGTTGAACGTGAGCACAGATACAGACTCCAAACGCACTGGATTTACTGACTCAAACTTACTGAATGCCGAAGGACACCAGAGAGACTCCCACCACCAGCAGATCCAGCAGATTGAAGTAGCTCCTGCAGAAAGCGCCTTTATGGAGGAAAGCGCCGAACGCCGTCATCTGATCAACACAAGAACAATTACGGAGCTAAATACGCCAGAAAATGATTCGTTTTCATTTAGATTGGAAAAATCTGACATTGTAATAGTTTGTTTTACCACAATATATATTTCACCAGATAAATATACACTCGCCGGCCACTTTATTAGGTACACCGCACTAGTACCAAGTCAGTCCCCCTTTTGCCTTCAGAACTGCCTTAATCCTTCGTGGCACAGATTCATCAAGCTACTGGAAATATTCCTCAGAGATTTTGCTCCATATTGACGTGATAGCAGATTATAATTGACAACCACAAGCTTCAGTATTTCAAAGTTTTTAAAAGAATTTAGATTAAGCTACTAAACCTGAGTAAGCATTCATTTTGCAGCATTTATTTCATACTCTGCAGTGAAATACATTTGAAAAGTTACCATCCAAGCCCTGATTATAATAACAATAATAATAATAATAGGGTATAATTATAATCTGGAAGCTATACTTATTTATACAACAGTTCTGTCTGGATCTCGAATCTGATTGGCTGATAGCCGGGATATATTTAAGTATTATCAGCATCCGTACAGCCTCTTTGCCCTTTGTGTATTACTCCGCCCACATCCAGCCAGCAACAAGCAGACACTACAGTTTGACAAACACTCCTGCTGTTAGACAACCAAATATACTTTTGAGGCTTTTTTAGGCGAGAATGTAGTTTAGATCGCAACTATGCAGTTTATATGCAAGAATAGTGCCTATTTTAAAATATTTACAATTTCTGAGAGACAGCTCTTCGGCGACAGTTGACGTTTTTTATCCACAAGATGGCGACAGAACTGCATAATAAGCCCTTACGCTTAGAACAGGGATCACCAAACTTCCTGGAGGGCCGGTGTCCTGCAGATTTGAGCTCCAACCCTAATCAAACACACCTGAACAAGCTGATCAAGGTCTTACTAGGTATACTAGAAACATCCAGGCAACTGTGTTGAGGTAAGTTGGAGCTAAATCCTGCAGGGACAACGGCCCTCCAGGACCGAGATTGGTGATCCCTGGCTTAGAAGACATAATAGTCTGATTTCTAACTATAGCAGATCGAATCAATATTAAACTGGTAAGCACACCAGCCAACACTACCGTTTTTCATGGGAGTATCCCGTATTTCAGACCAGTCTCCCGCAAACATCCCGTTTTTTATTTCTTTCTAAAAAAACTCCCGTAATTTCACACACCCTCCCTCTTTGGTACAGTCTGTAAACTAAACACCCCCGGGTTTCCAACTTTGGTACAGTACCCGATCGAACACCCCCTCCCCCCCGGTCTCCCGGGTTTTCAGAGACATGTTGGCAGGTTAGATGATCTCTCTTTTTGTATGCTGAAGTGCTGTATTTATACAGATTTGCTCGCATATCAGGAATGTGTGTTGTGTTGGCAAATTAAATTAAGCAAAGTATGCATGTGTTTAACGATTTCCTTATCGCAAACACAACAGCAGTCTGGTAACGTTAGTGGATTCATTGTTATTTTCGGGGTTAATTATTGTGAAATCCCGACTGCAACAGAGAAATACTGTAGACTGTAACAGTGTAGGAAGATATCTCTGTAGACTGATGGCATTTCGTGTCACGTTCAGCCCTATAATCTTAAAGTGTGAGCAAAAATCAGCTGTTTTGTCTTCACTTTAGACAGAGAATCATTTAAACACTAGCTCTAAAGTGACGTTGGTGAATTCGTAACGGCTTCTGCTGTTCTGACGTCAGCTGCAGATGTGAATGAATAGTGGAAGAAAGTAGTTCCTAATAAAAAAGGGTTTTTTAGAATCTCTGTGTTTGATTTTCTTATTTATATACAAGATTGTGATGTTGAACTGTTGTATAAACGCAATATCACACTTGTAGCAGTGCGATATGGCTGTATATCAGCACTAGTGAGACGCCAAGGCACCGCACGCCTCCCACCAGTGCTGATATACAGCCACATTGCACTGCTACTCGTGTGATATTGCTCATATATCTTTAAATAGTGTGAAAATAAGAAACAAAATGTCTTTACCTTCACCAAGATCTCCACTGTGAAAATAGCGGTGAAGGCATAATCAAAATAACCCAGAACCTGCAGAGAGAAGCACGACAAGAAACACAAGTATACGCAATCACATCACAGTCAGCTTTATTTCTACACAGTCTATGTAGTTTCATTATTTATCTTTCATTATACTTTCAAGTACTGAATATGTATAGGCCAGACATACTACTGCAAGACTTTTCTGCTTAAGTATATTAAGTACTAGGCGGCATGATGGCTCAGTGGTTAGCACTGTGGCTTCACAGCAAGAAGGTTGCTGCTTTGAGTCCCGGCTGGGTCAGTTGGTGTTTCTGTGTGGAGTTTGCATGTTCTCTCCGTGTTGGTGTGGTTTTCCTCCGGGTGCTCCGGTTTCCTCCACAGTCCAAACACATGCACTATAGGGGACTTGATTAACTAAACTGGCCATACTATATGAGTGTGTGTGTGTTAATGTGAGGGTGCATGGGTGTTTCCCAGTACTGGGTTGCAGCTGTCTAAAACATATGCTGGAATAGTTGGCGGTTCATTCCACTGTGGCCATCCCTGATAAAAAAAGGGACTAAACTGAAGTCATAACAGTCATGTGACTTTACAGACCTGAAACTTGCCTACAGCACTTCTTCATTGTTGCTCTTATAGTTGTGTAAATTGCTTCCTTGTCCTCATTTGTAAGTCGCTTTGGATAAAAGCGTCTGCTAAATGACTAAATGTAAATGTAAATGTAAATGTGAAAAGGCTGTATTTTGCTCCGGTGTTTGTGCATTGCGTGCTGTTATGAGGTGTTGTTTTGTTTGCTTCTGGTTTGTCTCACGATGTTTCGGGCAGAGAAGTTTCGGATGGGATCTTCGGCCGCCAGCGAGACGGAGCTCAGCATGATGAAGATGAGGATGAGGTTGGTGAAGATCTGATGGTTGATGAGTCGATAACACAACACGCGAATCCTGCGGTAAACACACACACACACACACACACACACACACACACACACACAAACATGAGCAGAGCCACTGTACAGAAGAGCTAACTCTGGCTCTATAGATATATACAGATATAGAGTTGGCCCTTCTGTGAATTTTCTTTCCTTTTTTAAAATATTTCCAAATGGTGTTGAACAGATTCAGGAATTGTTCACAGTATTTCCTCTTATATTTTTTCAAAGCAGGACCTCACAGGACTTGTGTGACATACGGGTTGGAGTTGCTCAGGATGAAGAAGGCGCTGCCGTCTGGAATAGGGGGCATCTTTTCTCTGAGGCTCAGCTCTGACAGTCTCTGTGCCCGCAGTCCGGATGGCACCTCGGGCTCCTCTTCCTCTTCCTCCTCTACATACACACACAATCACAGTGATCAGCTGACCTCACCCATGCCCATACGCAGTGATAAACACTATCAGATGTTCACCTGAGGAGTCCGCCAGCTCCTCTGCCGGATCCCGACTGGCCTCCTGATCATCAGGTGCCTGAAACAATTCATTAAAAACATCTCAGGTAAGGTATGCATCCTGGCTCTCTAGAACACTTGATTGTGATTGGCTAATCACAGCATTTCAAGGTATGTTAAATTAGGGTTAAAGTACACCACATAGGTTGTTACAGCAGAATAAAGCCTGACAGGATTATCAGCAGCTTGATGTAAAACACAGCACTGTTGTATAAGACTGAAGGGTTTATTCAGTGAAAACAACTGTCCTGGATATAGTTTATCCCGCTTATTACACTTGCCACAAAACATAAAATTAGACACAAAACATTGTTCTAAGCAGTAATATTTGATTAATTCTTTAATTAAATGCACAGCTGATAGAAATGAAAACAGCTGATGGAGTATACACTAACCTGCGCATTATTCAGACACTAGATGGAGACAAACAGACAGAAACAGCTGATGGAGTATACACTAACCTGCGCATTATTCAGACACTAGATGGAGACAAACAGTCAGAAACAGCTGATGGAGTATACACTAACCTGCGCATTATTCAGACACTAGATGGAGACAAACAGTCAAATTACATCTGAATAATGAGCAGGTTATTGTATACTCCATCGGCATGCACTAAATTCCAGGGGTTTCATAGCCATGATGTAAAATGGGCGTGGTGCGGTCAACGTTTTGAAAACGCCCCCTTAAAAAAAACAATATTAAGATGTCACCGATCATGCGCAGAATAGCTTTTCTTTTTTTTTCTTTTTTTTTGCGCGGTTATTTCCAGGGCCGGAGCAAGCTGAACTGACGATCACGCCGCCCTCAACCCCAATATGTGAAAACGAAAGTGACCGGTTATGAAAATGAAGTGAGGTGTCGCAGACCTCTATTCTGTCACCCTATGCGCGGATATAACTGAGGACGCGCGGGTGCGGATGGAGGTGTCGCTGACGCTGCCCTCTCTATTCTGTCGCCTATGCGCGAATATAATTGAGGACGCGGATGGTGAGGGAGGTGTCGCGGACATAACTGAGGACGCGGGTGGTAAGAGGGGTGTTGCGGACGCCGCCCTCTCTATACTGCTGCCCTAGGCGGCCGCCTAGGTCACCTATATGGACGCGCCGGTCCTGGTCCTTTCAAATACAGGATCACGCTAGCTCTGATGGATGAAAAACCAACTGCGGTGTGCGATAACAAAGCAAAAAAAAAAATAAACAAGGAGGTTATATTTGTTTTTATAACGTTAAATTTTGTAGCAAGAAGTAAGTAGTAAGCATGATAAAGTACATCCAGAATGGTTGTTTTCAAAGAATAAACCCTTCAGTCTTGTACAACAGTGCTGCACATCTCATTAGGTTGCGGATAAACTTGTCTGGCCTTAATTAGAAAAGAGCATCCCAGACAGCCGTGTAATATTAACAAAATAATGCACAATTAATTAAGAATTCTGAGACAAGAACTTAAACATCACCCACCTTAAGTTCTCGGTCATCTCCATCTCTTTTGTAGATGCTCATACTCCTGCAGAAAACACACATATATCAGCTTGTGTTTGTGCTCAGTGTGTGTGTGTGTGTGAGAGAGAGAGAGATGAGCATCACCTGCTCTTCCTCCTCTTGTTCCTCTTCTCCTCCTCTTTTTGGGCTGAGTTCAGACTCTCCGCATCTGCCAGATTATCCACAGCAATGGCCAAGAAGACGTTCAGTAGGATGTCTGATCTCATGTTAAGACACTGACTCTGCTCTTACTGAACTACTATCCATGAAGTAATTAATACTTTGTTTATACACACTGCAAAAAATGCAGCTAAAATTGTCAACTAAAATATGATTAATTTGCATATGTGTATTTCAGAGTACATCACAGCTCCAGATGCAGAGCTCATTTATATTCATAGCCCGTCAAAATATGGTCAAAACGGGCCATTTCATTCTGGAGGCAAGTCCTAGAGTTGTAAATGGGCTTGTAAAATAGCAGAGCTCATTAATATTCATGTCCTTTCCAAATAGGGTCAAAACAAACCATTATATTCTGGAGGCAAGTCATAGGGTTGTAAATGGGCTAAAAAAAATAGCAGAGCTCATTAATATTCATGACCCTTCCAAATACGGTCAAAACGGACCATTTTGTTCTAGAGGCAAGTCATAGGGTTGTAAATGGGCTCGTAAAATAGCAGAGCTCATTAATATTCATGACCCTTCCAAATACGGTCAAAACAGACCATTTTGTTCTAGAGGCAGGCCTGTGGCCAAGTAATTAACTTTTTTTTTAAGTTTTGCAAAGTCATCCACAGTGACATGAGCTGATGTTGTCTCGGATGAGCAGAAAGAAGGATACAGTTTCCACAGATGAAGAGGATGATGAAGTAGATGCACACCAGCATGCCTGATGAAGAGGGTCCGCCGTATGCCATGATCCCATCATACATCACTGTGTTCCAGTCCTCACCCGTCAGGATCTGCCAGAACAAATACACAAATACAGATTCACAAAGTGTTTACTGTACACTTCATCAAATATATGCAGCTTTGGTAAGCAGGAGAGACATGTGTGAAGAAGAGACTTAATAAATGAATCTTTCCAGCCTTAAACTTTTCAGTGGGTTACACACACTTTTACAGCTATCTTGATGGGCTCTTCCAATAGCTTTAATGATTTTTATATGGTACTTTTCAAAATACTTTTATCTGTGTGTCTTATGAACCAAAAAATGTCCCCTGAAGGTCAAAAATAACTGGTACTGCTATACTTGTGAGGACATTTGGTCCCTACAACATGAGGAATACAAGCAACACACACCTGAAAGACGGTGAGCAGGGCCTGAGGGAAGTTGTCGAAAGTGCTGCGTTTGGTCACAGTCTCATCGAAGTTGAACTTTCCGCCGAAGAGCTGCATGCCAAGCAGACTGAAGATGATGATGAAGAGGAAGAGCAACAGCAGCAGAGATGCAATCGACTTCATGGAGTTCAGCAGAGACGCCACCAGATTACTGAGAGATGCCCAGTGACTGCAAACACACACATGTTCATAACACCCCACATGAATAAATACTATAGCAGTTTGAACCCTACCATAGTACTGTATTACCATGTACTAAAGTATTTGTAATGCTTTGTTAATGAATGCTGCAACATACTGTCCTAAATGACTGATAGTCCCACCCCAAAATACAGAAAGCCCCACCCTAAATAACTAATAGCCCCACCCTAATGGACTGATAGCTCCGCCATGAGGGACTAATATCCCTGCGCTAAACAAATGATAGCCCCACCCCCAGAACTGATAGCCATATCCTAAAGCACTGATAGCCTTGTTCTAAATGACAGATAGTCACGCCCCTAAAGGACTGATAGCCTTGACATAAATGAATGATACCACCACTCCTGAATGACTGATAGCCCCGCCCTTAAGGATGGTTAGCTCCGCCTTAAAGGACTGATAAGCCCTGCCCTAAATGACTGATAGCTCTGCCCTAAAAGACTGATATCCCCATCCTAATCAACTGATAGCACCGCCCACAAGAGTGATATCTCCATCCTAAACAATTCATAGCCCCACCCTAAAGGACTGATATCCCCATCCTAAACAACTGATAGCCCCGCCCTAAAGGACTGATATCTCCATCCTAAACAATTCTCAGCCCCACCCTAAAGGACTGATATCCCCATCCTAAACAATTCATAGCCCCGCCCTAAAGGACTGATATCCCCATCCTAAACAATTCATAGCCCCGCCCTAAAGGACTGATATCTCCATCCAAACAATTCATAGCCCCGCCCTAAAGGACTAATATCCCCATCCTGAACAACTGATAGCCCCGCCCTAAAGGACTGATATTCCCATCCTAAACAATTTATAGCCCCGCCCTAAAGGGATGATATCTCCATCCTAAACAACTGATAGCCCCGCCCTCGAGGAGTGATATCTCCATCCTAAACAACTGATAGCCCCGCCTTCGAGGAGTGATATCTCTATCCTAAACAACTAAAAGCCCCGCCCTCGAGGGGTAATATTTCCATCCTACACAACTGATAGCCCCGCCCTCGAGGAGTGATATCTCTATCCTAAACAATTCATAGCCCCGCCCTAAAGGAGTGATATCTCCATCCTAAACAACTGATAGCCCCGCCCTCGAGGAGTGATATCTCTATCCTAAACAACTAAAAGCCCCGCCCTCGAGGGGTAATATTTCCATCCTAAACAACTGATAGCCCCGCCTTCGAGGAGTGATATCTCTATCCTAAACAACTAAAAGCCCCGCCCTCGAGGGGTAATATCTCCATCCTACACAACTGATAGTCCCGCCCTCAAGAAGTGATGTCTCCATCCTAAACAATTCATAGCCCCGCCCTAAAGGAGTGATATATCTATCCTAAACAACTGATAGCCACGCCCTAAAGGATTGATATCTCCATCCTGAACAATTCATAGCCCCGCCCTAAAGGTATGATATCTCCATCCTAAATAATTCTCAGCCCCGCCCTAAATGACTGATATCCCCATCCTAAACAATTCATAGCCCCGCCCCAAAGGAATTATATCTTCATCCTAAACAACTGATAGCCCCGCCCTAGAGGACTAATAGCCCCGCCTTAAAGGCATTTCATGTGACCAGAAGTGAAAAAATTGTTTTGTGGGGAGAAGGAAGGTTGTTAATTGCTTAAAAATAAGCAAATTATAAGCAAAGTAAATTTAGATTTCACGCCGAATTTAAGACTCACCGCGTGACTTTGAAGATCCGCAGGAGCCTGACGCAGCGGAAGACGGAGATGCCGAGCGGAGACATGATCTCCAGCTCCACCAGAATGGTCTCCACGATTCCTCCGCACACCACGAAGCAGTCGAATCGGTTGAAGAGCGACACGAAGTACGCCTGCAGTCCCAGACTGTACATCTTAATCAGCATCTCACATGTGAACAGCGCTAGCAACACCTTATTAGCCACATCTGTAAGCAAACACACAATAAACAGAACACTCTCATTGTTTTGCTCAGAAATCAAGAGTTATTATCATTTTTGCCTTGGTGTGCGATTCTACGATATTTTGGTCACACTTTATTTTAATGTACAATTCAGGCTATTAGCAAATCATGAACTGAGACTTATAGCTTGATAAATCACGAATTAGCTGCTTGTTAAAAGCTAGGAAAGTAGAAGTTTGGGTTTAGGTATTGGGTAGATTTAGGGATGTAATGTTAACTGTAGTGAATTGATAAACTGTAATAAATACTGTAGTATACTTTAGTTTTTACTACAGTCAACTGTGGTGTATATTACTATAGTTGTTGTGTTACTATAGCGACTGTAGAATCACCACAACAGATCAACTATTATAGTTGTTGTGTTACCATAGCAACTGTAAATTCACCACAAGAAATCAATCACTATGGTTGTTGTGTTGCCATAGCAACTGTAGAATCCCCACAGCAGATTAACTATTATAGTTGTTGTGTTGCCATAGCGACTGTAAAACCATCGCAACAGATGAATTACTATAGTTGTTAAGTTACCATAGCAACTGTAGAATCACCACAACAGATCAATTACTATAGCGACTGTAGAATCACCACAACAGATGAATTACTATAGTTGTGTTACCATAGCGACTGTAGAATCACCACAACAGATCAATTACTATAGTTGTTGTGTTACCATAGCAACTGTAGAATCACCACAACTGATCAATTACCATAGGGACTGTAGAATCACCACAACTGATCAATTACTATAGTTGTGTTACCATAGCGACTGTAGAATCACCACAACTGATCAATTACTATAGCGACTGTAGAATCACCACAACAGATGAATTACTATAGTTGTGTTACCATAGCGACTGTAGAATCACCAAAACAGATCAATTACTATAGTTGTTGTGTTACCATAGCAACTGTAGAATCACCACAACTGATCAATTACCATAGCGACTGTAGAATCACCACAACAGATCAATTACTATAGTTGTTGTTACCATAGCAACTGTAGAATCACCACAATAGATCAATTACTATAGTTGTTGTGTTACCATAGCAACTGCAGAATCACCCCAGCAGATCAATTACTATAGTTGTTGTGTTACCATAGCGACTGTAGAATCACCACAACAGATCAGTTACTATAGTTGTTGTGTTACCATTGCGATTGTAGAATCACCACAACAGATCAATTACTATAGTTGTTGTGTTACCCTAGCAACTGTAGAATCACAACAGATCAACTAATACAGTTGTTAGTTACCATAGCAACTGTAGAATCACCACAACAGCTTCGTTAAAGTACTATAGTATGCTTCAAAAACACTGTAGTATTTACTATAGCATTTTCCATGTGTGTGTGTGTGTGTGTGTGTGTGTGTGTGTTTCTCACCCTGGACCTCCGTGAGCCAGTCGGGCTGGTTATAATGCTCGGATGATATCGTGAGTGTGTTGAGAAACACCAGCAGAATCACCAGCCAGTAAAATACGGTGGACTTTACCACGGCTCGACACTTTCTGCGACAAAACCTGTTCCAGCACCGCCAGCGGCTGCAGACAAGCAAAACAGACACAATCAGTGTGTTCATGTGTTACAATAATCGCCGTCCTGTCAAAGTTTCATTCTTTTTCAAATATTTGATGTTTATTAGAGCAAGGAAAATTAATAACTCATTTCTAATCACTGATTTATTTTCTCTTTGTCATGATGACAGCACATAATATTAGACTAGATATTCTTCAAGACACTAGTGTTCAGCTTAAAGTGACATGTAAAGGCTTCACTAGGGTAATTAGGGTAAAGTTAGGGTAATTAGGCAAGTCATTGTATAACAGTGGTTTGTTCTGGAGACAATCCAACACTAATATTGCTGAAGGGGTGAATAATATTGACCTTAAAATGGCTTTAAAACAATTAAAAACTGCTTTTATTCAAGCCCAAATAAAACAAATAAGACTTTCTCCAGAAGAACAAATATTATAGGAAATACTGTGAAAATTCCTTGCTACATTAAACCTCACTTGAGAAATATTTGAAAAAAAATATTTTACAGGAGGGTGAATATTTTGCCCTCATCTGTACGTGGACATGTTCATGCATGCAAAAATCAAACATCAAGCTTTAATGTCATGCAGTGCAAAGCCCTTTAATGCATTCAAATCAAGCACATCATACACACACAGGAAGGATTGCAGCATCTTGGCAGATACAATGGCAACAAAAAGAGCTTTAGATGTTGAAGATGAAGCACATATACTGTACACCGACATGCCAAATGATGAGGTGATGAGATACGGAAGGGTTAGTTCACCCAAAAATAAAAATTCTGTCATTAATTACTCTCTCTCTCACATCCTTTTAATGTTCTAAGTCCTTCTTTCATCTTCAGGACACAAATTAAGATATTTTAGATGAAATCCTGGAGCTGTCTCATCCTCTGTAGACAGCAAGGGTCCCGAGACTCTCAAAGTCCAAAACATCCTCAAAATATTCAGTGTGTCTTCATGGGTTGTTCATATGAAGCTCCATGTACTAGAGATGCACTGACTGTAATTTTCTTGGCCAATTCTGATTTCTGATGTTTGGGAACCAAACAGTGGGAACTGTCAACATCGATTTTTGCTGATTCTGATTTTTTTGCAGATTTTGAAGAAATACAACTGACAGCATATACAAACAAAAAATATAATTATTTTTAATAATAAAAATAATAAATAAATAGAGAACTACTTAAAAAATATTTAACATTTATTTCAAATCTATCTGAAATTTATTTGAAAGTGTATTAAAAATAAAAATAGAAATAAATAAATAATTAAAAACTTTTTAAAAATAATAATATTAACAACAATAATAATAAAAATAAAAATAAAAAATAAAAATAAAATAATAAAAAATAAATAAATAAAAAATATTTAACATATTTCGAATCTATCTGAATTTTATTTGAAAGTGTATTAAAAATTGAAATAGAAACGAATAAATAAAAATAATTAAATCATTAAAAATATAACACTTATAATAATAAATATAAAATAAATAAAATAAAATGAAAATAAATAAAATAATTAAAATAAAATAATTAAAAGTAAATAAATAAAACACATTTATCATTTATTTCAAATCTATCTGAATTTTATTTGAAAGTGTATTAAATATAAAAATAAAAATAAAGAAATAAAAAATTATTAAAACGTTTTTTTTAAATAATGATAATAACAACAATAATAATAAATTTACATAAAATAAAATAAAGTAATAAATAATAAATAAATAAAACGCATTTAACATTTATTTCAAATCTATCTGAAATTTATTTGAAAGTGTTTTAAAAATAAAAATAAATAAATGAAAATAAAATAAAAAATAAAATAAATAAAAATAAAATAAGTAGTATAATTAAAAATAAATACGTAAAAATAAGGAACACTTTATTTTAACAGTATATATATATATATATATATATATATATATATATATATATATATATATATATATATATACACATACAAATTGTCAAAATAAAGTTTTCCTTTAACTATAACTATATATACAAAATATGTAATTTTCCACTGTTTATAACTTTAACTTTTAAATGTTTTTACACAAGTCCAAATACTACAAGCCATGTTAATATGTTTGGATTATTTGCATGTATAGTTTTGTACTATTGTCTTATAGATGCTTATTGTCAGATTTGTTTACTCTTGTTATGGTAAAGCATTTGCTGGCAACTTAAATATGACAAATTTTTTCAGCAGAACGTTTTAACTCACGCAACCAATGCATAAAAGTTGCTTGAAAGACATTTTTTGACAATGGTCTTAAAAAAAGACCCTTGCTGTCTATGGAGGATGAGGGAGCTCTCAGTTTTGATTTAAAATATCTTCATTTGTGTCCTTAAGATAAAGACGAAGGCATTATGAGGATTGTAATGACATGAGGGAAAGTAATAAATGACAGAATTTCCATTTTTAGGGTGAACTAACCCTTTAAAAAGACAACAGTACAGCAAACACACGCAGCAGTGGACGTGGCCTACTGACCTGAACTTCGACTTTGTCAATTTCTGACTGAAAAAGGGAAAAATACTCCATCACTGTGTGCAAATCTGCACGCTGACGAACAAAACGTCCAGCAGGCATTGATTTATTATAGATACTGGAGCTGAGATACTCCTACACTGCAAACATATGCTTTTTTAAACTTAATTTTTGTTTTATTTCTAGTCCAAATATCTAACAATACTTAAATCAAGAAGCATTTTCTAGACAAATGCTGCACATTTCATATAAGAAAAGCATGCTTTGCAGTGCATCAGTGTGTTTTTCCAGCAGATGTAAAGAGGGAAGCTCACCAGAAAGGCCCACAGAAGATCTTCTCATCTTCTCCTGGGTTCTCAGTGTTCACAGACTCGTTTTCGCTGGTCGGGACGCTCGCTGTAAACACACAGAAAACACAGCAATGAACATATCAGAGAGTATACAACATTTTATTTAACCTTTAGTTACGTTTTATAAGAAGCTTTATGAATATTTGGCAAACGCATGATGACAGACAAATGGAGTTATTTCTGCGCCACTAATGTTGTTTTGGATGAACATGTGATGAAAATGAAGCGGTGAAACTCAAACACACAGTAAAGTCAGAGTTTACCCTGAGTCTCAGTGGACTGACTGAACCAGGCTGAGTTTGCGGTGCTCTTGGAGCGGCTGAGATCAGCCAGCATCACTCCTTCAGTTCACATGCATTTAAACAGAGAAGCAGCTATCAGCATCTACTGTATAAAACTATAGCAATACACAAAACTACTGCAATACTAATAACAACACAGACACAGAGAAAGAGAAAGAGAGAGAGACAAGAGGAATCTGAAACTACACTTACAGTACAGCCACTGCATAGTAAATACACATTCATTCACTACACTGCAAACAATGCCTTTCTTACTTTGACTTTTGGTTTTGGTCTTCTAGTCCAAATATCTAAAAACTCTTAAATCAAGAAGCATTTTCTTGACATTGCTAAAATATTGCCTTGAGTTTAGAAATAATGAGTCCAAATGAAGTGAGTTGTTCGCTTACAACAAGCTAAATAATCTGCCAATGGGGTGAGTGAAATAACCTTATTTATACATCTATAAACAAGATTATTTTGCTTACGCCATTGGCAGATTATTTGGCAACACTTTATTTTGATAATCCATTTGAGTATTAGTAGACTCTCTGCTTAATATCTGCTGATTTGCTCCTTCAACAGACATTTAACTGACTATAAGAAATTTTGCAAGTACATGTTAACTTACACCAACCTTAACCTTAATCCTAACCCTAACCCCAACCTACTAGTCTACTTAAAATCTAATTAAGAATTAGTTGGCATGTAGATGCAATGTAACTTACATTCAACAAACAGACCATCAAAATAAAGTGTGACCGAGTATTTTTGCTTGTTTTAGGAAAAAAGTCACTTTATTTTGACTTATTATTTCTGAAAACAAGACAAAATTGTGCACTTGTCTAAAAAGTGTTTGCTGATTTAGAAATTGTTGGATATTTGGACTAGAAATAAGACAAAAACTCGAAGTAAGAAAAGCTTTTCTTGCGGTTAAACCAAATCAGGCTCATTCTGAAAACGTAGTCTCGTGGACGTTTCTGGAGACCGCGAAATATGTGGCCGGAGGTTCGTACAGCTGCATTTAATTTTTTTAAGTGAACGCTGAGGGGCGGTGTGACGTTGTTCCTTCCGGTGCTTGCCGGCCGCCCGCTCGCCTCCGTGTGGAGGGCTTTCCCGCCGCAACCAGTTTGTCCAGTTAGCTCTTCGTGTACGTCGGCGGACGGGAGGCGAAGAGAAGGGCTGACCACGATGACGACGACTGTGTTCGAGTCCAGGGAAGAGCGGTTCCAGAAATCAGGTAAGAAAACAAAAACAAAATCCAAAAAAATAAAGCGAATGAGTTCATCACAGGATGAGAATGTGGTAAAATCCGGAAACATGGTGAAAATCAGATGAGGGTTTTTCTTTTTCTGGACGGCTTTTGTGAATCGTTGTTGGTTGGTCAGCCGATTGGCCGATCGCACGGTCAATCATTCTGTCATCCAGGCAGACAAGCGGAAGGTCGTTCGACTCGGCCTCTGACGGGTTCACGCGAGAACGGCACGGGCGCGAACATCGCTGGCGAGGGACGTTTAAGACGCGAAAAATCGCACACAGAGGCCTGTCGCGGATTCGCGAAAACAAAACCTGCAAAAATACATACCTCCCGGGACGTATCTCACAGTCTCCATAAACGTCCACGGGACTACAATCAGAATGAGCTTGGGTTGAGTAAAACTTTTACTCTACATGCACTACATTTTTTGGCAAGTATGATGCTTTTACTTTAGTATCATTTTTCTAATAGGCAGGTAATAAACCAGTAAACAACAGCATGAAATGTGACCTAAACTAAAGAGTTGACAAATCTAGTTTTGAAGATACCCATGCTCATGCAGACAGGGCCTTATTTGCAATTAATTGCATTGTTATGTTTTGCACAAATTAATAATGGAAACATGCAACTCAGGCTCATTGTGGATACGTACCCAGGTCTACATTTCAAGGAAACCATGAATATATACCTGGGGCTACGTCTAGCTGCATTTTGTGTGTAAAACGAACGCAATGTGGTGAACGCTATGTCCGGCGAAGAACTGTTCTAGAGACCAGTAAAACAAAAGCAAAAAAATAATTATAATTATTAAATAAATTGAAAACAAGTTGAAAAGGTGGTAAAATCATGTGACTGCGTCAGCTCTTTTTTTCTAGGATGCTTTCGAAAACACTATCAGTTGGGTTTAGTGAATTTCAGTCTGGTCGGCTGAAATATATATTGTGGCCTCTTGTGGATTAACATGAGAATAAGATGGGCAAATGGCACGTACGGGAGAAATTTAAGATCATCGAAAATGTACAACTGGGACCTCTGGTAGATTTACTGAAAAGTAAGACGCGCAAATGGCGCAAATTTGAGATCATCAAAAAATGTACAACAGTGGCCTCTGGTGAATTTGCGAGAGAAAAAAAAACTGTATTTAGCTCTGGGTACGTATTTCACGGTTCCCAGATGTGTAGACCTGGGTACATATTTACAATGAGCCTGAGTTGGAAACATGGCTGATAAGTGTCAGATATCAGCTTCTCTTTCAGCAGACAGACGACAACAGGATGAACAGATGAGAGTTTACTGTACGTACGGTTGCGTTTGGCCTCCTGATCTCCCTCTTCTTCATTATCCGGGTCGATGTCCTCAGCTTGAGTGATCCAGTCCAGATAACCTTTCAGATCCTCCTCCAGCTGCTGTTTCTCACGCAGCTTCTGGAAATCTCCGCGGGCTTTAGCCTTCTCGCGCTCCTTGGAGAACTCACTGTCATGTGGACACATACACACACACACACACACACACACACACACACACACACACACACACACACACACACACACACACACTCTGTACGGTAATGTACACTGCAAAAATGCTTTTCTTACTAAGAGTTTTAGTCTTGTTTCTAGTCCAAATACCTAAATATTCTGAAATCAAGACTTTTTTGAAAAGAATATTAAATATAATTGAGTCTTTTTCCATACAAAATAATCAGTAAATAATCTTATGTCAAATAAATAAATAAATAATGAAAAGAATTTTGCTTACCGCATTGACAGATTATTTTGCTTGTTTTAAGGAAAAACTAATTTAGTTTTGAATTATTATTTCTTAAAACAAGACAATCTCTTTTTGCTTGTCTATAAAATGTTTGATTTAAGAATTTTTAGATATTTACTCTACAAATACAAAAACTCTAAGTAAGAAAAGCATCTGTTGCAGTGTGGACAGCTCACCCGCTGAGAACTCCCAACACTAGATTGAGGACGAAGAAGGAGCCGAAGATCACCAGGCTGACGAAATAAACCCAAGGCAACTCAAAACCCATGGCATCATTCATCTGAAACACACAACATCTCTCACATTACACAAAGAAATAAACAAAAACTACTTACCCGGGTCAAGCAAAAAAAAAACTTTTACTGTTGAGTATATGTGCTTTCACACAAGTAAAACTGAAAAATGTGTAATTTTACTGGAATAATAGTCAAGTATTTGTGTTT